AGCCTGACCACCCAGTTTAGTGTCAAATACTGTCAAACATAACAGATTACTTATTAATTTTTATATATAATTTGTTAAAAACTGGAAGTTTACACATACAACTGAATGATCTGTTATGGTCACATTTTAGGCTAAGTGATAAGTTCAGTGAAAGAAATATTAGGAACAATGTATTAATAACAATAATGTTTTTTTTCCAGTTTAATATTGATATAAGATTGTTATTAAGTCAGCATATATTTCTGTTAAAAAGTCAACAATCTGTTTTTGATAGCCTGATCAGTGCCATAGACGAGTGAAAACACATCAATAATATTCTTAGGTAGTTTACATTTTTGATAACTATATAATAACTATATCATATATTTTTTCATTCATAACTAAAAGCTGGAATTCTAATGAAATATTCACAGATTCAGACAGTAAAAACAATTATTGATCTACTATAATTCATGTAGACTGATTGATCCTTTCTCTTGGACTGTTGGTATCAGTGGAGGGAAATGTAATGCGCACGCCGAGCAGACCGGAGGTGGCGCTGCTTCCAATAGACAGCGAAGAAGAAGAGCAGCCATGTTTGTAGTTCTGTTCCTGTTACAGTGGACACAGTTTGTGGAAACACCGGAGTTACCTGTCTGCGTGGTTCCGAGTGAGGGCAGGGTACATTTCGTGTGAACATGGCGGAAGCTGAACACAGGTGAACTAAAACTAACTTTATTAGTCTTCTACAGAAGAGACTGTGAGCTGAGGATGTTTGTATGGATAATGCAGATACAACAGGTGTGACTCTGTTAAACCACCTGACAGGGACGCGGAAGTCCTGGTTGACATGAGACCCTTCAGTCCGGTTTAGGATTGTCTTTTGCGCGTTTTAAAACACCTGCAGCAGGTCTCCTTTGTGAACAGCAAGAAAGACTGAACCTGCAAACACAATGAACACCAATAAAAACAACCTGTTAATGAGAAATAAAACCTATAACATCACTTTTCTTCTAAACAATGTAGATGTAGGAGCATTTTCTAACGACCTGACAAGAATTAACAGGCATATTAAATATTAATCTTCTTCATTTTTATCAGGATGTGCTCAGCTCTCTAACTTATTAGGATTATAAAACCATGCAGTGTGTTTATTCTGGGTTCATATTCATGAAGAATTGATGTTTATTTAACAATCAAACAAATGTGAAACTTTTATGGGTGAAAATCATTTCCATTTTTCTGCTTTTCAGGATAAAGAAAGTGGTGAAAAAACTGAAGCAAACACCAAAAGTGGAGCAGGAATCCTGCCTACAGCAGGGTCCAGTCAGGGTGAGCCGCCTGGGTACTGATGAGTTTACAACAAGGGACTTTGGAACTATGACCACTCAAATAGGGAGAGGAATAGCAGAAACAATCTTCTGGCCTCCTAGGTACAGATGTCCTTGCTTTCCCGTCTTTTTTTACGCTGGCAACAGAAGATACAACAGAGAGCCACCCTCCCCCCCTGCATTGCCCGCTCCCACATTGAGCGCTCCACACGAGGAGATGGATCCATTAACTTTGGCACAGATACTTAAGGGACTAAGTGACAGGTTAGAAGATAATCCCGAGTCCACAAATTTCAGACAGGCCCTCCAGGTGAGGCATGATTTACATTTAGCACATGCATATCGCCCTCCCCCCTACATTACCTACTTGGTCATCTCCTCTAAGGTCATCATAACTTCAATTGCTCGCCGTTTAATACACCGTTTAACAAATTTCACATGGAATCACAGGAGTGACTGTAATGTCCTGGAGAAAATGGAGCAACAATCTGAGCAAACCTCATCTGAATACTCTCTGCCAGACCATTCTCTCCTTATACACCCTCCAGATTGCTTAAGAAGCAGGACGGACTCCAGCAGTTTGTCTCGCTCTCACAGCGTTCCCTCACTGAGTCTAACAACCTCTGCAGACAACAAGACCTTTACACGAGCAAAGAGCTTACCTGACATGCTGTTTCAAAAACAGCTTGAGGAGTTTAAACCTGATATCACTGCTGATGAGAACGATGAAAGCTACAGGGATTCCAGTGCTCCTGCTGCCCAGGCCTGTAACCAGTGCAGTGTGACAGTCTGCTGTTCCACGATGGAGGGAAAACGGGGACGTCGCCGGTCTACAGGATTGTCCCTGTGGGACAGTGAGGCTACTGCGGGCCATACTATCACAAGCCGCTGCAGGACCCCTGTTTGCACTCAAATGGTGTGCAGCAGTCATATAGTGTTCAGCCTTCATCTCCCACACTGGCTTGAGATCCGCCTCACAGAAACCGGGTGGATGTGGATCATCCATCATCGGTCCCCCTACATAAAGATAAAACAGAAACACAATGTTATCATAAACATCACAGGTTTTTTTTCTGGCTTTCCGGTAACGGTCAAGGGATGAAGGATTCACCACCTGACCCGGGTCCGAGCCAAGGTTTCGCTGCTTCTACAGGGCCCCGGCTGATCCTTGATCGACTACTTCCTTCACAGTGTTGCTTCTACCGAAGCGAACGTAGCTGCTCCGGGAGCTGCTGCGCATCAGGGAAGAAAGTTATTTAGGACGGGAGAGCCTCACTAACAGACATCCCCCCACCTGTAACTGGCCTCCCAAAGCAGGAACAAACTGTCCACTTATCTGGAAGACGACTCAGTTCTAGTTGAACCGACAGAAGGCAGAATTTGACTGTGACGACTATGACTACTTCCCGACTTCCCAGGTCAGGTTGCGAAAACAGTGGATGAAACATAATTAACTGTTTTCTGAGAGAAACCAAAACCCCATAGTGTCTGGGGAACAGAACGAGTTTGTCTTTCTCCAGTGCATTAAAAAGGTGCTGGTGCAGCGGCAGTTCAGATGAGAGCTGGCTTACACTTCGGAGCCAGCTCTCGGATGGGATATCAGACCTGTTTCTCAAAAGTCTGCTGCGACAAACTGTTTGAGAAACGTGCTTTTGGAGTGATTCTGAGAGGGAGTCAGCGGACGAATCACAGAACAAAAGGGACAAACGCTGCTTTTGTTATCAGACACAGTGGAGGAAGAAAGGGTGGAAGCCTGCTGGTTCAGAGATGGATTGACTTTTCTCTGTGAGTCGACCCGTCCTCTGTGAAAACCTCGCGTTGATCTGAAAATCTCGATCATCCTAGTAACTCCCAGTAAAAGTATTTTCCCTCATCTGTTCACTGTTTTTGATCTTCTTCGACAAGAATGATCTAGGACACTTTCTCAAAACAAATCCTACCTTACTTGTTGTTGGCTGAGAAATAATAAGAAATAATAATAACGAATAAAAAACCACCATAACCTGTGACAGAAAAGGTGAAGCCAGAGCCAGAGGAAAAGGTCAGCAGTAAAGTTGGTCAGTAAATGAACAGTGTAGGATACAGTCAGTTACATAATGCTGCTAGGCTCTCGAAGACAGAAAAAGCCCGCAACTACCGCTGGCCTACATTCAAGGTCCAGACCTAGGGCGTTTCGTAGCTGTACCTTTTACGCGGTTAGGTACGGGTTTGAAGGCAGTTGTTACTGCGTGTTTTTGGTGAAATGCCAGCTGATAGCTGTTACACAAATGTGTATTGTTCAGGTATGTTTGTATGTGCCTGTTTGTAGTTGGGGCCATTCATGTATCTTTTATAACTGTTAAAAAGATAAAGTTTTAAAGATAAAGGTCATCAGTTTTTATGGAACCTCATGATCTAGTGAATCCAACTAATAACCTTTACATGATATCAACTCCATAATCAATATTATGCCCTGCAAATGTCAACTAATTAACTCTATATTAGAGCTGTTGTAAAATGCTGAATTATATATTAGTAACTACTTCTGTTTTTACTAATGATTTATCTAAACATATTTCACAGGCTGCTTTGGTAGCCACTTGGATGTTTGTTGGTCTATTTTATTGTTGTTTTTCATTTATTGTCAGTACTGTCAGCTAACACTGCATAATTCATCAACCTCATAGGGTTGAAATTCCAAAACAATGATTTCTGCTGAAGTCTGTTTTATGTAAACTATTTTTATCTTTGTATCTCAAAAAACAACTCTCTTAAATTAGTTTTATGCCCCCCATGAGCCAGCAGGCGGAGCCATTTGTTTGTTAATTGTCAGAGTAAAATGGGGGCGGTCAGATCACTGGTGATTAAACATGGTGTGAGAAACACTGAGGAAAGCAAGCCCATTGGAGAAGAGAAATCACAAAAAACAAGCTGAACAACAACAATTACAGTCGTATTTATAATGCATTTCCATAGGTGCCAGTGGGACATCATAAACAAAGCAAGAGAGGCCCTAGGAAGGCAGGCTATATTCAATTCTTCATTTAGATTTCAATTGTGTTTAACTCTCAGATATTGATGGGACAAAATATGTTTTTGTACTAGTATGTATACGGCTGCTGTATCATTGAATATATATGTTTAAAAACAGTTAATGAATAAATTAAACTCAACTTCATAGTAACTTTACATTTAGGACTTGATGTGTTTGAAGTCATTGTAAAACTTTTTTGTACATTGTACATTAAGTTGTAGTTTAGTTCTTTGTTCGGTAGTTGCTTAGTTGTTCAAAGTATCTTCTCTTTTCCATTTTAAAGCTTATTTTAACGTGTTTCAAGCTGCAATATTATTATTATTATTATTATTATTATTATTATTTTGGGCTACAATTAAATATTTTTAATAGTATATCATTTATTTATTCATACAGCTCATTTAGTTTAGGTTTTCTATAAGCTATATGCTTTTTTAAATTTAATTACACTCAAAATAATTAATGTAAGACAAGAAAAAAACCTCATAAAACTCTAAAATAATTGTTGATTATTTTCTGTCCACTGACTATTTGATTAATCAACAAATCAATGCAGCGCTCTTCAATTTAATATGTATATTATTTTGAAAGGACCGTGAAGCCATGTCCTGTTTTCCTCTGTCTATTTTCCGGTCTCCCCCTATCTAACTCCCGCTAACTTGTTGCCGGTGGATTGATCGATCGCAGCCCCGCTGAGCGCAGCATCTTCCAGGCTTCAGACCGGACGGTGAGCCGCTGACTGTACGGAGCTCCACCGCTGTCTCTCGGATACATTTCCAGCTGTTTTTGTCACTAAGTTTACGGTAGTGTCGTTGAGTAAGTTTACCGGGACTCTCGGTGTGGACTCCGGTAACATTAACTCATCTCGGGGATAAACAAGTGGATTTGAGCCGCGGGAGAGAACCGAGGAGGTCTGGAGGATGAACCCTCAGTGTGCCCGCTGTGGGAAGATCGTCTACCCGACGGAGAAGGTCAGCTGCCTGGATAAGGTGAGCACTTTGGTGGGGGTGGAAGAAAAAATGTTTTAGTTTTTGTGTAGTTTAAAATATGTATCCTGTTACATAATGACATTATAAGTTATAAATTAACTGTTTATTTTTGTAAAAGTTGGACAGAAAACGTTAAAGTTTGAGCTGATGCAGTCTGATTGATTAATTGATTGATTGGTGAGCTGCACTGACATTTAATCATGATTTATTCCTTCCAATAGTCTCTAAAAATGTATTTTTTGTTGCAAGGATTATACCAAAATGTCCCAATCATTGATTACATAAAATCTATTTCATTCTCTCAAATCCAGTAAATTGAATATAGGTTGATTCACATAATAAACATCATTATTAATTTAATTCTATTTATAGTAGAGACTTAATGTGTGGGTGTACAAAAGGTTTCTGGTTAATTTAACACACTTTATACATCTTATCTCAATAGTTTAATCCATAAAATGTTCCTTATAATATTATTTTATCAGCCTAAATGAGGCAAACACTGCTTTTATACACAATTATCAGCCTAATATCAACATTTATAGTCAGTCTAGTCAGTCAGTCTTTTGGGACTGATATTATATATATAAATATATGTTATTTATGACAAACAAATAGACTTATAATGATCATAAATGTGAATAAATATCACATGGCACAAGTGGTTATAATAATTATACGATACTAACAGGAATATTTTCAGGACTTTTCTGTGTTTGCATGGTAACGCCTCTGTAATAGTCTGTTGCATAATGGTGATACATTATTAATTTATCTTCAGCGGTCTCATGCATTCACTGTCTGTCCTATGAGGCATCAGATGACACAACAGCATGTAGGCACTGCACATGATATCAGCTCCCACCTTTCATAATAAAAGACTCACATTTCACAAAAAATATCAACTCTGAAATCAGGACGATCCAGGTTGTAAGAACCAATATGGACGGGATTTACCTTCTGTCCTGTCTTATGAAAGCTGACATGACTTGTTTAAAGACTAAAGGGTATGAAAGAGCTAAAACGGTGCGAGAGGCAGTGATTTTAGAGAGGAGGGGGCTGGCAAAGAAACAAAGAAGTATACGGAGAAAGTGAGAACGAGAGTGTGAGGGCGAGAGAAAGAAGAGTTCCCTGCTGTCCCTCACAAAAGCCCATTTAATCAGGCCTCTGGCAAGACTATAGGAGCTGCGTCTTTTATATTTTACCTAAAAAAAAGACATAAAACCAAGTATATACTAAAGAAGTTTTTATTTTTCCAGGTTTTAATGTGACGACCAATGTTTGGGAGCTTTTGGACAACTGTATCGGACCAAAACTTCCTCTGTAGTCCGATTCATTTAATTCAATTCAGTTTTATTT